ATTAGAACTTCATTATTAGTCACAGAGTGAGATATGAAAAATAGAAGTACCACTGCTGCTTTATTGAAAAGATTTTTCTAACGCAGTTTTTGTGTGTTCAATTACACTATTTATTAACACAGTGAAGTTTAGCTCGTAGAGAAGACCTGCCGCCATCTGTTCCACTATCGGCAAAAATATGTAATACGATGTATCAAGACCTTGTATCCTGAACCTTTAGCAAATTCTCTGGCACACGAAGTACTCTCCAGATGTAGGATCGATCCCACAATCCCCTGCTATAAACTTGGAGTCGAGCAAATAAGCGACATCTGTCGCATTTACGAGGAACAATGCTATAGGTACACAATAATATTTTTTTCGTTGTCTGTGGTAGCGACTTATCTGACATATAAATTTAGTTTTCTTTCAAAGTTTTAGAGTTTAGATAAATGGAGTAAACCTTGTTTTGAAGAATTACAGGGCATTTCTAAGTGAACAGATGAGGCACATGAGCGGTTTGAAGACGTTATATAGTTAATTTTTAAGATTCTTCAATATTTCATCTATATATTATTTTTAGCTGATGGTTGGAGTGAGGAAGAGCGGCTCAGGGTAGGAACTTAAAAAGTTGATTTTTTGAGAGATGAACTTTTTTCTTTTCAAGTTATTTTTCACAATTTTCACCACATGGTAGTATAAATGACTAATGGTGGTATCAAAACCATTTGTTTTTGACAACTGCTTTAAAATTTTTTTGTGATGGTCTTGTGCGAGACGGCTCTCATGGTCAAGAGCTTCAAGAAGCACGAGTTAATGGTATTGGGGTGGTTAAAGGTGCTACAAATCATTGCGTAATGAGCAGCACGCTTGTTTAGTAACAGTCCCTTTAGATGTCTTCTCAGATAGGTGTTTTTATTGCTCTAGCTCTATTTTTCTATTCTTTCAGTGTCTGTGTTTAGCTCACCAAGAATTTTTTTGAACTTGTGACAAGGTTACGATGACCGAGTGTTTTATCATTCCATTGTGGTTTTAAGTAAGCGAAATTGCTTTTTAGTAGAGCATATGGTGTAGAGGTATGTTTGTGGCTTTTGAAGCTCAGCCTTATTCTCTAAAAAGGCTTGAGTAGGTTTTTGAGTTTGTTTCTAAAAAAAACTTGATGTTTATCCAGCCTAAAAAATCCCAGTTGCAAACATAGCCATCTACTGCTGATGCCGGCTGCTTATCATTCTTATTTCGCAGCAACTGTGATAGAACTTATGGCGAAGCTGAGGTTAAGATAATGGTCTCTGCATATCGGCAGCTCTGCGTCGGACCACCAAAGTTCTTTAGAGAAGGAGTTGGTGCAAGACTGCAGGTCGACATGGAGGCTTGCGGAAACAAGGCTCTCAGTTGATGAGATATTTATGTATGTTTGTAGACCAATGCTTGAAAGAGTTTTATATGTATAGTGCATATGCATGAGATATAACAAACTTTTTAAAAGTATAGCTCTGATGCGTATTCAGAATCCAGATACGGTATTTTGGTAAACTTGTTGTGGTTGGAGCGAGATTTCCACTTTGCTTAAAGCGTTGGAATATAAGGCCGCGCGTGGTGGGTCCGGCGATTAAAGCTTGTTGAGCAGACTTTGCAGCTTTGTTAATTTGCGAAAGTATTTACAGAGGAAAGGGGAAATTTAGACGATTAGTTTGGTTCGGATTTGTTGACGCGGTAGTGGATAACGGAGATGCACTGTACTTTTGACCTTGCTTGCCGAGTATGTGTGTAGGCATTATGTGGGGATAGGTCTGTAAGTGAATTTAAAGTAGAGGTACGTCAAGGTATAACCAGTCAGAGTGGAGGGTCTTTAAAGTAATAGCCCTCCTTGTTTCACAAAAATTGTTCTCTCTTTTCGTAAAAATTTGTCGTTTCTTTAAACGAAGGGGAGCTTGTTATCCCACGTGAAGAAAGAGCAGTCTTTATCATTTTCTTGTTGTCTAGACTATTTTCTATAGAATGCAGTTTTGACAATGCTTTTTTAGCGCTTGATTGTTCCGATTTGGTTTGAAAACTGAAGCTATCAATAAAGCTGACTCACTGAAATAAATGAGTGCTGTGAACTTTAGTTTGTTCGAATTACGTAGCTTGTGTGTGTAAATGCAGCGTTTTTAGGATGCCAGGGTTATATTTGTTTGATTATGTTCGTCCGAAGCCGTTGGAAGAACTTGCTGAATTACCTAATGCTGTGCCACCAAAGTATAGTTTTCCTTCTAAACTGAATGCTGAGGGTATTCCTTTGTCATCTGCAGAGAAGGATTTCGTATAAAATTTGGTGCTATAAATGAAGCTTTTATTCTACTGAGCTGTGGAGTATGCGCGGACTTTTACAAGAACGGAACTGGCTGTGCTGATGGTAAGGTAGAAAATTCGCAAGTCGTATTAAAGGTCTGTAACATGATATGCAGCCATGAATGAAGATTTGATAGCAATTTATTGTTCTATATCCTCCTGTTACTTCTCATTTTTGACTGTTCTTGTCAGATTCTTAGAAGTATTAAAGTGAAGGTATAGTACAAAATGTAGGAATAAAAATGGCAGATGATCTTTTACCAGTTGTCTTGTTGATTATTTGTTGCCGAAGAAAAAAAAATATTTTTACTTTATTGTTTTTTCTCTTTTGTGAAGTTTTATATTTTTAAAAATTAGAAATTATTGTTTGTTACTTTGCTCCTCGTGCTTAATTGATTGGCGTTGGAAAAATTCGTTTACAGTTTTGTTCTGTTAAACAGTTGTTGAGAAGGGTTTGGCAATTTTGAATTTAAATAGGTTTTTTGATGCAGAAGAGCAAGCTTTGTTGTACGTAAGTTCCAGGTTTTTGTGTTAATGGGATTGCAAAAAAAAAGCAAATTGTATTGTATTGTTGTTTTAACAAATAGCTTAGTGAAAAATTTTAATTTCTCGGTGCTGTACAAATGAATGTTTTTGGCAGGGCTTTATAACATCATTTGAAGGTATTTTTTAAACTCGTTTTCTGTTTTGCTGTGACATCATTAATATGTGAATTAATATGTGAGGAATAGAAGGCAGTTATCTGTAGATGATGGTTCTTTATTAGAACAGCAAATTACAAGTGTGATTAAAGAAGCGATTGCAGTATTTATTTGGTGAAAAATGAAGAGAAATTATTGAGTTTATTTACAGTAACTTTATTTACAAGATAGAAATTGTTTTCTGTTCTGTTTTTTCTTTTCACATTTTCTTCATTTTGCTTTTAATAAATTTATGTTGGCTAAGAAAAAACTTTTAGAAGTGTATTTGATTGTCATTTGCCTTAAAGGTACATCAGCTTTAAAGGTTTTTCAAAGAGCTGTAGAGAGGAAGTTTAATGACAATTTGATATTTGTTTCTCTGAGATATTTTCGATTTTTTTTTGTGTTCTGTCCTGATAAAGTAAATTGCTGTTTTGTTGATAAGCATTAGTCGATATAGGAATGGGGACGAAAAAGTTGAAAAATAGAGCTTATTTAAGCAGCGTTGAACGATGGGGTACAGAAAGGATGGCAGAACTGGTCAGTGCGATCTAGATGTTTTATAGGACTCTTTTGCAAATGCAGAAGTTGATAAACGTCGTTGCTGTAGTTTGGCAGTAATTTTGAATTGCGAATAAATTGTTTTGGGTATCCTAACATTCGGCTATCAATTAACAAACAGTGGTTTTTCAGTTGTTAGAATTTGAAAGATTGAAAGGAACTGTTGCTGTGGTTATTATGATTGTCTGTCAATGAAAAGTTATAAATTATTTTTTTCTCGATAAAAGTATCGATGGTAGTGGTAACAGTACAAAAAAAATTTATTGCTTCTGATTTTCAGTTTACATCTTTATAATGGTATTAAGAATTTTTTTGCCTGTTACCATTTTTTTTTTCTTTTTTAAGGTGAGATGTCTCAGTTTTCAAAATGAAAATTGTTTAGTGAACTGTCTAGTTTTGGTAACATGAAGAAAAACAAACACTAATACATGGATAA